CACAGCATCGACGTTTTCTTGGAGCAACCACCCTGGGATCGTCGTTAAGACTTGCCCGTCCACGTATGAATTCTCCATACCAACTGATGTGGTGCTTCGTTGCCGAAAACAGACAGTAACTCAGCAAGGCATTCTTGTTGCGATAATTGTCTCTGAAAGTTGTAATAAATTATGGTACGAAAATGTTCTCGGTTGAGTTCCATTTTTCTAATGATTTGGAGACACTTAAAAATTCACTGTAGTGAGAACACTGCACGTATTGTTGTGAAACTTTGAATTTAAGTTTACTAAGATTCAGTACTGACGTTCGATCCGCGCGGCCCACTATGTTTCTATATGCAGAACATTACTTGCATTAACATATCCAAGAAACTATCAAATAATTTTTTTCCTGATGTAGGTATTTATTTTTTGCCTACCAACACGATTCGATCGTGGGCAACACGCGATGATACAAGCAGTGCAGGCGGAGTACGACGTTGCCAGTTGTGTGAGGGATTTTGTCTGTTTTTCTTCGGAAAATTGTATTTAATAAGTAAACAAATTATTTTGTTAGAGGCAGTTAATTAATAAATAGATGTATTGACACATTTTACGCTATTATTAATATGTATTCAAATTATTAAGGTGCAAAATTAATTTATTTCATGACTAAAAAGAAATAAGTTCAGCATTATTTTTCTCGAAACGGCTGATTTTCGGACATGGGTTATAATGAACTTTACTGCTTAGAATAATCCATGGAATCACCTTTTAAAGTTACGAATATTATTTCCCTAACACCTTGTAGATAACCGATGTGGTTCACAATATTAAGAAATAAATTCAATTTGGTCAATCTATAAATAACGATTTGTTTACTGCTCGAGATAAGACATTCAGCATGAAAAATATTTCCTGGAACCCCGATTTAATCGAGTTTGGAAAATCCCAGGGACCAAGCAATTTTATGCATTCATCCCCACGGCAGAAGGACCTGTAGTTAGAAGAACTACTATTAATGAGCGAAGTAGAATTGTAAGGATTATAAAAAAATATTTCGATAGACCGTACCTACGAGATAGAGGATAGTTGCGATGTATTCGTTTGTATATTCCGAGATGAGAGACCAAGCCTAGACCATGCTGATGAGTAGCCAAGAAGCACGAAACAGCTGTCCATGGTTGGCCGCCTTTTGGTCGAACGGACGAAAGCTTTATCTTAGTTTATAGTACTATTTTTCCATCGCTAGTGCACAAGTCCGCACAAAATTGTGGACGCTGATTTGTGATCAAAAACCAGTCGGATCATTCGCAAGCCAGACGACCTATTCACACATTTCAATTTTTGATGGATCACCAAGGTCAGTAGTGTGGATAATCGTCTATAAAATCGCCCGAAAAATATACTAAGTGACATATAAATCCGAACACCCAGTTTAAATGGTTTTATTTTAATAAAATTTTGTATAAGTACTTAATGAAGCATAATAAGTAAATGATAAAAATGTCAAAATGATTGCACTGCTTTAAAGCCCTTTGACCTTTAATAATGTGTGGATGCACCCTGATGTGCTACGCATTCTCCAACGCGCCTAGGCATGCTTCTGATCAGGTGGTCAATGTCCTCCTGTGGTATCTCATTCCAGGCAACCACCAACTCCTCTCGAAGTGCTTCTAGAGTCTGAGGAGAACGTTGTAAATTGAGCAATCTCCTACCCATCATATCCCACACGTGCTCAATTGGGGATAAGTCGGGAGATCTTGGTGGCCATGGTAACAATGTGACATCATTATGTTGAAAGAAGTCTATTGTGACTCTTGCAACATGTGGTCGGGCATTATCTTGTTGGAAAGTTGCATCTGCCAGGGTGTCAAGATAGGGTAAAAGATGGGGTTCTAGAACTTCGTGGATATAACGCTGCGCGTTCATGTTACCTCTGATGAAGATTAAAGGTGACCTGGAACCATAAGCTATAGCCCCCAAACCATAACTCCAACAGTGTGATGAACATGTCTTTCAACAAAAAACTGTGGATTCCTCCTTTCACCACGTCGCCTTCTAATCCTGGCACGACCATCGTGCATGCCTAAACAAAATCGAGACTCGTCACTAAAGACAATATTGTTCCATTCCTGATCCCGAGTGACCGTTGTCTGCAACCACTCAAGGCGATTACGGTCGGTGTCTCGAGTTAAAGGGAGGACCCAGTGTTGGCCGGTATGAAAACAAGCCAAAACTTCTCATTCGTCGGTAAAACACTTCGCATGCTATAGGTCTTTTTCCGTGTGCTGCAAACCATTAATTTGCATGGGAACCTGGTAGTGGTAGAAACGGTCCCTTAAGGCCAATAATCTTAGGCGGCGATCTTCACGGTCTGTTGTTCTACTACGGCGGCGTCCGATTGCCCCTTGCTCTTTGCGTATGGCCTTCTCGAAGCCATGCCTGACAACATCTAACCACAGTGTCTACACTTCTTTGCACTCTAACTGCAATTGCCCGAAAAGAAGTCCAGCTTCCCGAAGTCCCACTAGAACGGCCCCTATCAAACTCACTAAGTTGACGAAATCGTACAGGTCTCCGTACTCTAGCTATCGTAACCGATCGTAAAGGATGTCAAGAACCAAAATCCGCCAACGTTGATTCTTTACTGCGGCTGAAATTTCATTTTTAGAGCGTTAGTGAATTAAAAAAAAGCAGTATAAAAACCGAAATGTCCAACTGATAAGGCTGAAAATTTTTTCACTTGTTAGTTACAGTAAGATAAATACATTCACCAACTTTTATTAAAATAAAACCATTAAACTGGGTGTTCGGATTTATATGTCACTTAGTATATTACATCACGTCATAGAAATAGTGGCAAATTGAAGAACTGACAAATAACTTTTTTGATAAAAAATTACTGATTATCTTCTTTCAGATTATTGACGTGTGGTTTATCACTCCTGCAAGGTGATATTCTTCCCAAATGTCCTCGCAAAAAATGTGCTTCGTGAAAGGATATACTGCTGTTGTTTGGATTATTTTTGCAAACCTGTGGCGTGTCCTACCCAAAATATGAATGATTTGAGAGAAGATATTACTATTTTAGTGAGCTTTTGGCAGACGTTGCATTCTGATAAGAAATATTTGAAGGCTAGTGATGTTAGTGGTAAGTATTTCCCTCCTTGTTTCTTAATATCGTTGTATTCTAAGATTAGAAGTTTCCGTATTTTTTTCAGACTTGGATGTTGGTTCTACCAGTCCGATTTCATCACTTAATAACAATAATGAATTGGCACGACCGAACGATTTTAACAAACCTACTACAGGCTGGATAAACACAGTACCACTTTCGAATAGTTCTGCTACTTTGAGCAGAAGATCAGCTAAGTCAAAACGGGTACCACTGGCAGATAATTTCGTCAAGTGTTACTTGAAGAAGAGAAATCTGATTTTGGAGCTTTTGGTAAATAATATACTTTCCTAAAGCACGTTTTTGAGACTTGCGTATTCTAGAACTCGTTCGCTAATTATTTTGTGTTCCAGGCTGTCGAATAGACTTCTTGATAGTTTGGCACAACCCAACGAATAGGCCGGAGTTAGTAGTCCCCCATGAAGATAACATAGCATCTTGGAGGGCAAAAACGATCACAGAAAAACAGTGGCATGACAACACAAGGTTAGCCTGGGATATCTCGCCTGCTCTAGCAGTCTATTTACCGACTAGGTGAGTTACTATACAGGGTTCCGCAAAGTTGGGGTTTTCCTTACACGACGTGTAGATCTTGAAAACATAAGCAATTTTTCTTAGTACCATATACACCAATGTCTTAAGGGAACCGAGATAAAGGGCTCTGCAACGTCAAAAATATCTGAATACCGTCCTGTAGCCGCGACATCACCGACTGGTACAAGGTCACTGGCTCAACCCGACGACAGAACTGGGTCGGGGTCAGTGTGTCAGGTCAGTATGCAACCTTCAACCGACGGTTACGGTCACGGGTGTAGAGGTAATCGCGTAGACGAGAATTACTCAACAAGCACTAGAGACGTGGCTAGAGAAGTGCAAGTATCAAAAACTAAAGTGTGGCAAACGCTGCGTGAAGAGGGGCTGTATCCGTTTCACGTCCAACGTGTACAAGCTCTTCAACCTGACGATTTTCCAGCAAGAGTGCGGTTTTGTGAGTGGTTGTTGCATCAACATGACAATAATCCGGACTTTTTGAAGTGCATATTGGTGACAGACGAATCTACGTTCACGCATAATGGGGTGAATAACTTTCGCAACACTTATGTTTGGTCAGTAGAAAATCCGCACGCTGTCCGTCGGGCACATTTTCAATAAATTAAAAGTATATTAGATAATACGTTGTCCATCTTAGCACCGTCTAATGAATGCATCTTGGTACTTGGTGACCTCAACGTTAATTTCTTTATTGATAATAAGATTAATCATTGCTTTCAATCTTACAGCCTGCACCAGTTATTGAATGAACCAACTCGAATAATTGATCATTCTTCAACGCTTTTAGATCCGGTTTTCTTCAACAGTGGACAAAGATGTTCCAAAGTGGGAACTTTCACTGTTAACTTTAGTGACCATCAGGCTGTATTCTGTCACATTTCGTGTAAAAACAATAAACCACCACCTAGACTAATTACATTTAGAGACTATCGCAATTTTGATCTAACCTCTTTTGACGATGACTTATTTAGCGTTAATTGGGCTGAAGTTATTTATATGGCTAATATCGATGAGAAAGTAAAATTTATTTCCGATAACATTGTAGGACTTTTTGACATACATGCACCACTAAAAACAGTGAGAGTGTCTAAGCCTCGTGCACCATGGCTCACAAACAATTTGAAAATGATAATGAAAGAACGAGATAAGGCTTTTCATAAATATAAACGGTCTCGCACGGATGCGAATCGAAATCATTACAATGAACTGAGAAATTTTACCAAAACTGCTACACGGGCAGAGAAATCAGGCTACCTTCAACATCTATCTCGACAAAGAAGCTCTGCAGCTCTTTATAAAGCTCTTAAGTCATTTAGAATTCAGGATTCTAGTAATACTGACATTCCAGATGATTTAGCAGTTCCCAGTGAAATAAATAACTAGTTTACCAGTATATTCCAGAAAAGTGACAATGATTGCTCGGAAACTATCGAATTTTATAGCCATAACAAATTAAACCAAGATTTTCATTTTCAGTTCCGTCTTGTCGATATATCTACAGTATTGGCTGCTATTCACAGTATCAAGTCCAATTCTAGTGGTATTGATGGCATTACCATTGAGATGACTAAATTGTGTCTACCTGCTGTAGGAATATACATTTTGCACTTAATAACGTAAATTGTTGTTTAGAGCGCGGTGTTTTTCCAAATGCTTGGAAGGAAGCATTAGTGCAACCTGCAACCCAAAGATTCCCAATCCCCAGGTTCCTGGTGATCTCCGACCTATTAGCTTGCTGTCAGCTCTATCATAAATTCTAGAAAAAATAGTTTATATGCAGTTGAATGAGTGTTTACTCGAACGCAGCATTTTGCCATTAAATCAATCAGGCTTTAGAAAGGGTCACAGTACCACTACCGCTTTTGCACGGGTTTGTGACGATGTACTAACAGCGGCGGATAGGCAAGAAGCAACTGCATTAGTCTTATTGGATTTCAGCAAGGCTTTTGACACCCTGAATCATAAGCTGTTAGTTTCTAAATGTAAATACATTGGGTGTGACGACTTGGTTCTGGAATGGATAGATTGCTATTTAAATGAACGACATCAATATTTCGTCATACAAAATAAACTTTCAGACAAAAGGCCGATTTGTTCCGGCGTGCCTCAGGGATCCATATTAGGTCCACTTTTATTCCTTATATACACCTTTGACATTTCTAACACCCTTCAACATTGTTCTAGTCAATCATATGCTGATGATATGCAGGTTTTTCATAATTTCTGTCTGAACAACTACCATTTAGCTAACAACCTTATCAATCAAGATCTGCAATACTTATGCACATATGCTGCAAAACATAATTTACGTCTAAACGAATCGAAATCGACAGCTATACTTTTTTGCTCCAAGAAAAACCGTACTTTCCTCAAATCAAAGTTAAATTTATCACTAAATAATAGTATCCTAATATTTTCCCATTCTGCAAAAATTTTGGTTTGTACTTGGATGAAGATCTCAGATTTCAGGAGCATGTTGGCTGTGTGTAAGTCTAGTTATTTTAGACTCAGGCTTCTATATGCAAGTAAAACTGTTTTAAATAGAAAAATTAAGAAAATGTTATGCGAGTCACTCATACTCGGTAAAATCGCTTACTGCAACATAGTTGTCTGGATGAAATCACAAAATACAGACTGCAAAAAATTCAAAACTCGTTACATAAACAATTTAAGAAGGTACGATCATGTTTCTCACTCAATATCTTCAATGAATTGGTTGAAAATTTCTGATCTTTTCAAATACAACTTTGTTACATTTGTCGTAAAAATATTAAAAACTTCTGTTCCGGTTTATCTTATGCAAAAGCTTGTTCGTAGGAATTTAATTCACAATTTGAATACGCGCAACATTAATCTCCTGACAATGCCACAACATAGAACAGCCATTTTTCAACGGTCTTTTACGTATAATGCGGTGAAATTGATCAACTCTTTCGAACAATGTTTCATCAGCAACTTTTCTAAAAAAAAAATATAAGAACTACTTATTGAGCTCTTAGGTTATTGTCATCTCTTTGAATCGTACGTATTATGTTTTTTGTTCTAATCGTACGCATTATGTCATATTTATTAATTCTTCTTTTACTATTATTCTTCTTTTTCCTTTTCTTTTTCAGTTTTTTATTTTATTTTTAAGGTAGTAATAAGCATTGACATGACATTTATGGTTAAGTATAAATGGCCATTGGCCAGACTTCGCCATTTGTAAGGATACATAATTATGTATGTGTTACAATAAAGTCCATTGAATTGAATTGAATTGAACACTCATGTTTGGTCAGTAGAAAATCCGCACGCTGTCCGTCGGGCACATTTTCAGCAAACATTTTCGGTGAATGTTTGGGCTGGCATGGTGAACGGTATGCTCATTGGACCATTTATTCTTGCAAATCGATTGGACGGGATGCAATACCTAGACTTTTTACGCAACATTTTGCCTTCCTTGTTAGAAGATGTGCCATTAAGTGTAAGACAATCAATGTGGTTTCTGCGTCTGCTCGGTAGCTCATCAGCTGATTTCATTTTCTGTTGGAGCGGTATGATTTCGGGCAGAGACGTACTTAGCCCTTCTCGTCAACTGGAGAGTGAGTACTTTTTCCTTTATTTTTTTCTACTTGGTCGCCCTCGTTTCACTACATAAAGGTAATCCTTTGTTATTTCAAAGGTTGTTGTTTCTGAAAAGGAAAACCTCAACTTTGCGGACACCCTGTATTTTTTGATACAGGGCAACGTTTGTGACGAATCTTGTAATTTTAGATTTAGGACAAATGACGCAATTATACACGAAATAAAATCGCATACTCAAATGAGTCCGACGTCTGTTTTCCATATACCGGAAGCTCTGCAATATTTGGTGACAACTGAGGCCATTTTACTCGATAGTCCAAAGCTTGTCAACATGCTCACTTGGGCAGCTGTTACTCCTATCCAAGTATGTACTTGTAATTTTCCTCGGACATTTTTATCTCAAGGTATACATTCTTTTTCAGGCTCTAGCGTATTTCAGTAGACAATTTCCTTCGCATCCTATATCCGCTCAATATGCTGTCAGAGTACTGAGTTCGTATCCAGCAGATGCCGTGCTTTTTTACATTCCACAGTTGGTTCAAGCTTTGAGACATGATAAGGTAAGAATTCAAAGGTGAAAATGCATTTGGATTTGATTATAATGTTTCAGATGGGCTATGTGACTGAATTCATCAAATACATAGCTAAAAAGTCGCAGATAGTGGCACACCAGCTGATATGGAACATGAAAACCAACATGTATATCGACGAAGATATGCAGCAGAAAGATCGTAAGTAGCAACAAAATACTTGAAAACTGCTAGTTAATTTTTGGGGGCTGTAAAGCAGGTCATTAGAATACCAAATCTCGACAGTCTGCATTGCCATTTTGTAACTCTGATAATTTTTTTAGCTGTTTTGTATGAAGTTCTCGAATCTTTGGTGAATAGTATAGTGACTGATCTTTCTGGCCCGGCAAAATCGTTCTACGAAAGGGAATTCGACTTCTTCGATAAAATAACCAGCATTTCTGGCGAAATACGTGTTTTCCCGAAGGGACCTGAGAGAAGAAAAGCCTGTCTAGAAGCTCTAAGCAGAATTAAGGTAAACAGTCCCCTTGCAAATCATGATTAACAAATTCCACTGCACGATGCTCAATTAAAAATCGTGCCTTTGTCTATCTAGACAGAGCTCTGTCCCAAGTGTCATACCATCTGGAGTGCCTCAGGGTTCTATCCTAGGTCCTCTCTTATTCCTCATCTACACCTTCGATCTATATGCAGTAATGGAAAATTCTGAAATGCAATCTTTTGCAGACGATACCCAAATACATAGTACATTATTTTAAAGCTAGTGAATTACCAACAGCTAATATAGAGCTACAACATGATATTGACATGGTTTGTAAATATTCAGCCAATCATAATTTATTAGTTAATCCTGAGAAGTCAAAAATCATAGTTTTCTGTTCTGATAATAAAAGAAACTACGTGAAAGGTAACCTTAATATCTTTATTGACAGAATCTTCTTCAGGTTGATACTACTGCCAAGATTTTAGGTGTCGAGGTCGATGAGAAGTTAAGGTTTTATAATCACATCAACTATCTTGCTCAAAAAACCTACCTCCGCCTACGCACTTTGTACTCTTGTAGATACTTATTGAACTATAAGCTCAGGAAAAAACTGTGTGAAACGCTAGTGATGTCTTGTTTGAACATCCTTTATTTCCCATGCCTTGACAAAATAACGAAAAATAGAATTCAAATTATACAGAATAATTGTGTCCGTTTTATATGTGGATTGAGAAAATTTGACCATGTATCACAGAAATACAGGACGCTGAAATGGCTCAAATTTGATAAATTGGTCGAATATCACCATCTAGTATTTATTCACAAAGTAATAACCACTTCGAAGCCCGCCTACTTGAGAGATAAAATTCTATTTAACTTTGTTGTTCATGATCGGTTGGTTAGAGAATAGGTTGAGTATCAGAATTCCGCCTCACTCTACAGTCTTATTCACCCGCAGTTTTTCTTATAATTCGGCAGTTCTATATAATTCGTTGGAATATTCCTTTAAATGTATGAGCTTAGCAAGTTTTCGTAAGCATGTAAGGATCAGGCTGCTTGACTGATACTATCCTTTCCACATTCATCATCCAATCAGACTTTATATTTATTACGTTGAGAAGCTAATATTATTTTTAGGCGCATGATATATATGTATATGTGGGTATGTGTAATATATGTGTGTATATATATATATATATATATATATATATATATATGTTTTTAATTTATTTAACATCACTGTATTTATTGATTCAGCTGGTTAAGTGTAAGAGTAGCATTGCTAAACTTCGCCAGTTGAGTCCCACTTTCAGTATGTACCATGTACATATTTTTTTGTAATAAAGGCGTATATTATTATTATTATTATAAAATAAGCATACGCGTCGTGGGGTTGCTGTACTATGAAAAAAACAATGAGGTGGCTGAAACGTTGGTAAAACTGCAAGGCTACATATGTAGTTTCATTGAAGACATGGAGAATTATCAGTATGAAAACCATATGATAATTTTCAGATGTTGATCATCTTATGGTTCATCTCCATATTCTCCGGTATTTTTGAATTCCTACTTTGGAAAAACTACTGAGGAGTCAAAACGTTAGTAAAGTTAGTTTGCTAACATCGTAAGTTCCTTTATCAACCAGGATTTTGTTTCAAGAATTCAACCTGCCAAAAAATGTATCGTAACCCTGGTCCTTGATTCAGGAAATGAAATAGAGTTCTTTGAGCAATATCCTTAAACATCAAATGAAGTATGATGAATCTATTTGTCGTACTATTTCATAAAATTGTATATGTCCTTTAACATTAAACCTTCGATACTATTAGGTCATCCTATACACATTCTCAAATATGCTCATTACTTTTGCTCAGTTTATTGCGCATTCGTTTTTTTATTTAAATGAGGTCAGAGCTGTACCCCAAAAGCATTGCCAACAGAGCAACTTCGGCTGAGTTAGATTTAACCTGACTTGCAACATTTAGTCTAAGTTTATTTTTTATGTATAACATCCACCGAATTTAAATTATGATATCACAGTAGTGAATATAAATCATTCTCAATTATATTGCCTACAGTATAGTTAAACATAAAGAGGAATGGGTTATCAAGTAAACCAGTCATTCACTGATTTGAACTGTATCACTTCACTTGCAAAACGAAGACAATAAACATTCTTAGCTGTTAAAATAACTGCTTTCGTAAATCCTTTCCAGGTCCAACCAGGTTGCTACCTTCCCAGCAACCCTGAAGCAATGGTTCTGGACATCGACTACAAAAGCGGCATTCCTATGCAAAGTGCTGCCAAAGCTCCTTATCTAGCTCGTTTCAGGGTAGCCAAAATAGGCATAAAGGAGCTAGAGAACATAGCAATGGCCATATCAGAGAACGACTTCAATTTGGAAACTCAAAGTTTGGGACCTGAAATGTGGCAAGCTGCCATCTTTAAAGTTGGTGATGACGTCAGGCAGGATATGTTGGCCCTGCAAGTTATCAGTATATTCAAGAATATATTTCAGACTGTTGGGTTGGATCTATACCTTTTCCCGTATAGGGTAGTTGCAACAGCTCCTGGGGTGAGTATTCAAAGACTTCGGTTGCTTAAACATTTTAAAACATTTTTTTCATACCCCATACATTTTTTCACGACCCGGGATTATTTTAGTATATATATATACTGAGTGACATATAAATCCGAACACCCAGTTTAAATGGTTTTATTTTAATAAAATTTTGTATAAGTACTTAATGAAGCATAATAAGTAAATGATAAAAAATTCAAAATGATTGCACTGCTTTAAAGCCCTTTGACCTTTAATAATGTATGGATGCACCCTGATATGCTACGCATTCTCCAACGCGCCTAGGCATGCTTCTGATCAGGTTGTCAATGTCCTCCTGTGGTATCTCATTCCAGCCAACCACCAACTCCTCTCGAAGTGCTTCTAGAGTCTGAGGAGGACGTTGCAAATTGAGCAATCTCCTACCCATCATATCCCAATGTGACATCATTATGTTAAAAGAAGTCTATTGCGACTCTTGCAACATGTGGTCGGGCATTATCTTGTTGGAAAGTTGGATCTCCCAGGGTGTCAAGATAGGGTAAAAGATGTGGTTCTAGAACTTCGTGGATATAACGCTGCGCGTTCATGTTACCTCTGATGAAGATTAAAGGTGACCTGGAACCATAAGCTATAGCACCCCAAACCATAACTCCAACAGTGTGATGAACATGTCTTTCAACAAAAAACTGTGGATTCCTCCTTTCACCACGTCGCCTTCTAACCCTGGCACGACCATCGTGCATGCCTAAACAAAATCGAGACTCGTCACTAAAGACAATACTGTTCCGTTCCTGATCCCAGAGTGACTGCACCACTCAAGGCGATTACGTCGGTGTTCTCGAGTTAAAGGGAGGACCCAGTGTAGCCGGTATGAAAACAAGCCAAAACTTCTCATTCGTCGGTAAACACTTCGCATGCCAATAGGTCTTCCGTGTTCTGCAAACCATTCATTTGCAATGGACCTGGTAGTGGAGAAACGGTCCCTTAAGGCCAATAATCTTAGGCGGCGATCTTCACGGTCTGTTGTTCTACGGCGGCATCCAGTGCCCCTTGCTCTTTGCGTAAGGCCTTCTCGAAGCCATGCCTGACAACACCTAACCACAGTGTCTACACTTCTTTGCACTCTAACTGCAATTGCCCGAAAAGAAAGTCCAGCTTCCCGAAGTCCCACTATACGGCCCCTAAGTTGACGAAATCGTACAGGTCTCCGTACTCTAGGCATCGTAACCGATCGTAAAGGATGTCAAGAACCAAAATCCGCCAACGTTGATTCTTTACTGCGGCTGAAATATTCACTTTTAGAGCGTTAGTGAATAAAAAAAAGCAGTATAAAAACCGGAATGTCCAACTGATAAGGCTGAACATTTTTTCACTTGTTATTTACAGTAAGATAAATACATTCACCAACTTTTATTAAAATAAAACCATTTAAACTGGGTGTTCGGATTTATATGTCACTTAGTATAATATAATAATTTTCCTCCCAAATTGAACTTCCTAAACACAATAACAGAAGTTCATAGAGATAAGTTACTTGATGTTCTTTGTTTTTTTTTAGTGTGGTGTTATAGAATGCGTGCCTAACGCAAAATCAAGAGATCAATTGGGGCGTCAAACTGACATAGGCATGTACGAGTACTTCCTCAAGAAGTATGGCGATGAAAGTACCAAGGAATTCCAAAATGCCAGAAGAAATTTCATAATTTCTATGGCGGCGTATAGTGTTGTTGGGTTCTTGCTACAAATCAAAGACAGACATAACGGCAACATTATGTTGGATACTGACGGGCATATTATACATATCGGTAAGTTTTATTCTATATATCTATTTCTTACTCTTTTTTTAAAAAGCCATAATATGGACATGTAACTTAACTACAAGCAGTGTTGTCTTTTTATCAATTATACTCTGACAGAATAATGCAAAATTTTTCTTTTTTACAGATTTTGGATTCATGTTTGAATCTTCACCTGGAGGAAATTTGGGCTTTGAACCAGACATCAAGCTTACTGACGAGATGGTTATGATTATGGGTGGGAAGATGGAAGCACCTGCATTCAAATGGTTCTCAGATCTGTGTGTACAGGCGTATTTAGCAGTCAGGTATGTTTCTATTATACAATACCTTACCACCAATAAGTTATGGCATTGGTTAAGGCTTCCCAGTACCCTCATATATTCATATACAAAACAAGCAATATAGTCGTAACATACAGATAAAAAAAATAGTGTTAAAAATATATTGAATTTCTTGTAACTTCTGTAAAAGCGGAGCGCCCAAATTTATATCGGATAACTAGTTTTTTTTCAATTTCACAAAAAACTTCATCAACACGTTCTCGAGGTTGCTTATAACAGAATATCCATTTGTCACAAATCAAAATGACGGACATGTCACACATTCTAGATTTGTAGTCAAACGCAAAAACATTTCCTCTTCTTTAACTTTTATTGGTTGCAAAACGTTCCAGTGTCTGCAGCAAATAGTCGCGCGTTTTTTGCAGCGCATTAATTTAGGGCTCGTGTGTTAAAGTACCATGATTTTTTTAGGCCCCAATGCGAAGCAATTATCTCGTTGGTCTCTCTGATGTTGGATACGGGACTTCCCTGCTTCAGAGGTCAAACCATCAAGCTGCTGCGTGGAAGATTCAGTCCAGGTGTGACTGACAAAGAAGCGGCTGCTTATATGTTGCAAATTATTAGAAATAGTTTCTTGAACTTCCGCACTCACGCTTATGACATGATTCAGTATTATCAAAACCAAATTCCATATTAATCATATTCGAATATTGTGTTGTTGATTGTTAGTTATTTTTTTGTTGAAGGTTGATATTTTAACCAGGTGATATTGTGCATTTCCTTAACCTTACTAAATGTCATATTTATGTATAGAGCTGTTAACTATATCACAAATATATTATTTATGGTTCTATCTGGCATTTTATTTCCGGAACTCCCGTTTGAGAATAGGAAGAGAATATTAATTTGCCTTTCGACATAAAAAAGATCGTCAAAATTCTTGTCTAATTTAAATTTTAGCAAAACCTGTTCACATCGATCAAGTTTATTATTTTGTAAAACTTAAGGTTTCCTTATTTCTATTAAGATTTGCAGTTTTTTTAGTTCAGCTACTATTCAATAGAGGGCGCTACGCATACATTCCAACCGCACAACTCATAGTTTTCATAGACTACCCTGGAAATTACTACAAGTCAGTAAGCCTAGATTTATGGGTAGGGGTGGTCGCTTTCTTTTTATTCACGACAAAAGAATACGTATTTTCTAACAAGCTAATCTAAAAGAAATATTATTTTCCAACAAATATGGGAGGTTTTTACCTTCCTCACGACCACATAAGTTTCTTGATCTTGCGTTGAATTGTGCTTCCCAAGCCCCGACCAGCCGCCCCTTGAAGATTCATTCAACCTAGTTAAATTTTGTGGAGCATGTGATATTAGGGTTTTGAAATGCCATCTATGAAACAGCAGTACAACTAGCACTAAAGAATGTTTCTAAAGAAAAACTGGTATTTTTAATTGCGCTGTGACTTAAATAGAAACTTGTGAAACTAACCAAACTCTATCCACTATTCAACCTGATGACACATCTACTACCCCTGCTACATGAAATTCTATGTCCATATAACAACACATCTTTGTCTAACTTGCGAACTCAGTTCTACAAACTATCCTCCAGGGTGTATCTCCACACTATTGTTTATGTGACGGTTTATTTGGGGAAATGAAACAAAATAATGTATTTGATCGTTTATTTTGAAAATAATCCCAGCTCATTCCTATTTGGTACCTATTCCAAAATTCATTTTGCATGGATTCTGGAGTGAGCTCTAAAATTCTTAAAGCATGTAAGAAGCATTTTTGAATCATTGAAAATATATATTCCTAATTACTTCACCTCAGCAAGCTAAGGAAATGTATGGCATAAGTTGAATTTTTTCATTTGAATAAGCAGATTTCTACCAAATCTACTCGTCTTTACTCAATATAGTCATTATACAGGGTGTCCGCAAAGTTGGGGTTTTCCTTTACACGACGTGTAGATCTTGAAAACATAAGCAATTTTTCTTAGTACCATATACACCAATGTCTTAAGGGAACCGAGATAAAGGGCTCTGCAACATCAAAAATATCTGAATACCGTCCTGTAGCCGCGATATCCCCGAATGGTACTAGGACACTAGCTCAACCCGACGACAGAACTGGGTCGGGGTCAGTATGCAACCTTCAACCGAAGCTTACGGTCACGCGTGTAGAGGTAAACGAACTCATATAATCGATTGCGTTCCAAAAAAGAGAAGTGCAAGTATCAAAAACTAAAGTGTGGCAAACGCTGCGTGAAGAGGGGCTGTATCCGTTTCACGTCCAACGTGTACAAGCCCTTCAACCTGACGATTTTCCAGCAAGAGTGCGGTTTTGTGAGTGGTTGTTGCATTAACATGACAATAATCCGGACTTTTTGAAGTGCATATTGGTGACAGACGAATCTACGTTCACGCGTAATGGGTTGAATAACTTTCGCAACACTCATGTTTGGTCAGTAGAAAATCCGCACGCTGTCCGTCGGGCACATTTTCAAAAAACATTTTCGGTGAATGTTTGGGCTGGCATGGTGAACGGTATGCTCCATTGGACCATTTATTCTCCCAAATCGATTGGACGGGATGCAATACCTAGACTTTTTACGCAACATTTTGCCTTCCTTGTTTGCCTGCGTCTGCTCGGTAGCGCATCAGCTAATTTCATTTTCTGTTGGAGCTGTATGATTTCGAGCAGAGACGTACTTCGCCCTTCTCGTCAACTAGAGAGCGAGTACTTTTTCCTTTATTTTTTTTACTTGGTCGCCCTCGTTTCACTACACATTACCTTTGTTATTTCAAGGGTATTTGTTTCTGAAAAGGAAAACCCCAACTTTGCGGACACCCTGTATATATATATATATATATCACTCCAGAAACCATCTGTCTGTTATATTTCAAATTATATCGTCAATACGATACCTCGAGTGTCCAACGATGTCCACATTCTTCATCCTACAAAAATAGGAAAGATTAGCATATCCTCCAAAGGCAACCATTTTGAGAATCTTCAAATGACGTGATGAAAATTCAGTGATTTCAAACATTGTAGGAAGGAATAGTTAAACTTGTAAGTTAATTTCACTAGATTATATCCTCTAATCCATTCAATTGAGATTGACTACTCCCATTCCAGCTATTTGACTAATAAACCTTCAAAATTAGTTACACCACACTTTTGAGACTGAAAAATTCATCACAGCATTTCAAGTGTAAGATTTTTCTTTCAAATATAATAGATAGTTATAAAAAGCATTGCTACTTCTTTGCACAAAATCCTACAGAGAGCCGATTTTGTTAGTTGTGTAGAATTATCATTTACTGTAACTTTTGCTTTAGCTGTCAATAGATATAAGTAAAGTACAGAAGTGTGAATTGTATGTTAAGAAATACTTTACCTATAATATAGAACTTTTTGAATTTGTTTTAAGCATATAATTATGCTGTTCGTTAAATTCTTCCATATAGTATTATTTTGGTATGCATTGCCACTTGGCTATGTGGAAAGTATCTTCCTTTCTACCCTGTACGCAGTTCGTTTTGGGCACTAAACACATTTATGTAAATTTTTACATAATTGCAATGGTAAGCGTACATGCTCAATTTTGCTGCCTTAGAGATTATAAAATTTATAAATTGTAAGATGAAAATACTGTCTTGCTTCCAGTTTTGTCGTGAACCTGTAAATTTACTGCTGAATTCGATTTAATAGTTCACTTTCCGACATTTTCTCAATTTATATGTTATACTTTGGATATTTCATAAAGGTTATGAATATTCATGTCAATGTCTGCTTCAACCATTGCGTTTGGCTTCTTGTGATCTGCTGCTTTATGCTTTTTATTGATCAGAAAATCATCGACTTACTCTTTATATACATTTTGCAATTATCAAATAGAAAATGAATAATACTACTAACACTGAGACTGAAAGTAAGGTGAATAAATATATGTAGTTTATACATTACCTAATTTCTCCCAAACTTCTACAGTTTCAAGGGTATAGAGTTCTGATGTATTTTATTCATATTTTTATACTTTGTTCCCATCACTTAGTCTGAACTGTTCAGTGAATTTCAATTGTCAGTTTTTATTACATTTTTCACTTGTCCACCTTTAAAGACAAGAGATGGCGCGCACAAAAAATTGAAAGTCATCTTAATTGATCTAGTGATGATATTTCATGAAAATTTCGATAAAATTCAATCGTTCAACTGGTGATCCAAATTCGACATATTTCAAGATATGCAAATGTCTTTTTAACAAAACAATAATCGCTGTTTGCGATAATAATACAATTACAACATTGTGATGAAAATAGATGTTGTATTTCAAACTGTGCCTCCATGTGATCTGCTTCTCACTTTACTTCCTTTTGCACTCAGCGCTTTATCCGCCGCCATACGTTTTGCTATTCACTAAATAAACAGAAAATGGAGCATAATAATGAGATTTTAAATAAGATTGGTATGCCTAGTTATACATTACCTACAATCTCTTCCAAACATGTACGCTCTCAATACACTGATTTCATCAGAGTAATCTCATATTTTTTATGTTACAAACCTGAGGTGTCATTTACACAATTTGAAAAAATCGGTACTTTCGACTGACAAAAGATTTGTAGAGAATTTGAGATCATCAAATAGAATAGAAAATTTTAACGACCATTAGTCTTAACAAGCACCACTAATACTTGTGTACTTTTTTGTAATGGATTTAAAGCTTCCTTTAAAAATGAAAGTCTATCTGCTGCATATTGTAAACCAAAAACGTGTTTTAAGGTAACAACACCCATTATTCCTCATTTTTTTAATTCTTATATAATCATAATGCATATAGTTGTTGCATGTATTCTGAAGAAATATTGGTCTTTCAGTGGAGTTCAGGGTATACAGTGCGGAGGAAGTTTTAGTAATACTACTGTCTTTGAACTCGGTATTTTTTATTACAAAAAAATCCAAATTCATTCATAAGGGGCTGAATTTTTCAGATAATCAAAAACTGGAAATCATCTTATTTGTTGCTCATGCTTTACATGTTATGCTTAACTTATTTCCCTAATATTGCCTTTTGCTATCAGCTATAACCGAAGCTTTTGAGCATCTAGAAAATTTCAGCAGCTACCAGTCGATCGGATCGTGTTTCAAACGCATTTTTAATTTGTCAAAAATACAATTTATATACAAAATGGTTTATTCATCAAATAATTTAGGTCAGCGGACATTCGCATTATTAAATCCACACATAAATCATCAATCGAATGTAGACAAGAAACTATAAACAAAAAGAAAAACATATCGAAATAAATCACAATTATGTTAAATGTAGGTACCTATCCATACTTGTCTGAATCATGGTTCAAACTTGTTTGATATTAAAAAATTACACGTAATTATCTATAATACATTAGCAGCAGAATACACAGTTTCTGTGTTCTTATTTCAGAGAAAATATTAACATACACAACTAACTTAAGTTACAGATCGTCAAAGGAATACTATTTTTGTTTGCCTAATTTTTTTGGCAGGGAACCTATTTAGTATCGTCTAGCCTGGGCGGTACCTGAAAATAGCGAAGAGATGCGAACATCTGGTTAAATTTACCAATAACAGTGAGATAATCGTTTTTGCAAATTACTTTATTAGTAACTCTTTGGTGTATTTATTCAACCAAGTCAACTAAATATATCTTAGATGCTCTCATGTACTATATCTAGACAGCTTGTCCTGTTTTGAATTCTTTGTAGGTATCACATATATCATAACCATTGTTCCATATTTATTTCAGTATGTGCGCGTTCATCTTCCATAGTAAATTGCAAAAATTTTCGTGGCTATATCTATTTGTTTTTACTTTACAAAGTACAAGATGTAATTAAAGATCATTCGGCATTGCTTCAAAAAGGTATACATGTAATTGGAAAAACGTAGAGGTGAACTATCCATTTGCTCTCGGGCGTAGTCAAGGTACACTCAGTCCTTCGGTACCACTTATGAAGGTTGTTTCCGTAGATATTTCAGAGTTTTGGTTTGGAAAAATATCATGCATTTATACAGGGCCCTGATCTCCCACATTTTAAGCTTTAATAGAAACGCACTTGTAAATGCTATCTAGATTTTATTTTTATTAACTGAAAATGTATGCTATGCCATTTGTTTTTATTAAGTTTTGACAATTGCAGAGTCCAAAAAGCGACCATTATTTCGATACACATTCGAAGCGTCTTCCGCTTCCTCGCTCCCAGGATTATTGAGCAATGCCTCAATTTCTGAAAATTTCCGTCACACGAGCAGCAATTTGAGGCGATAATTTCTCAGCTTATTGCTGCTTTCATTTTGTCAATGGTCCAACAATGGTGTTGAAAAACGTTTGCTTTCAGGTAGCCCCAAAGGAAAAAGTCGCATGGGGCAAGATCGGGTGAACGCGCAGTCCACCAAACGTCTCCACGTAACGAGATTACACTTGTCATGTAAGATTTTTAGGTATTTATGAGACCTACAAAATGAGACCACATGTAAAAAGATCCGACTAATAGCAAAAATATTATGGCCGAAAAACAAGGCAAAATGCAGATTTTGGCACTTGGTAATGCGAAGATAATTTCACGCAACTACTTGAAATTCTTCAAATCCGTATAGTCGTACTTCAAAATAACAACAACAAAATTGTATTATATTGGTCAAGTAGTTTTTTGAGAATGTCTAATTGTTTATTCCAAAACACCAGTTTTCTGGCCATCACTACTAGTTTATTGAGAAATATAGCTTTTATTAGCAAAATATGTACACGTGTTTACCTTGCCTATATGAATCACAAACCATTCCGATAGATAAATGTTATTTTTATGCGAAAAACAAAGGTTACGTTGTATTCTTCTAAACAAATTCAAACATTTCGTATTTGTGAGTAATTGAACAAATGCGCCACGATATTCGAAAAACATACGTCAAAATACACATTTTAAAACAGCGAATGTGAATATCATTATTTGTTCCGAATTACTCCCAAATACGAAATTTTTGAATTTGTTTAGAAGAAAAAACGGAAGCCATCCTTTTTTGCATAAAAATAACATTTATCTTCCGGAATGGTTTGCGATTTATATCGGCAAGGTGAATTAGTGTATTTTTGGAGTTTTTGGATAAACAATTAGAAATCCTCAAAAACTACTTGACCAATCTATTTCAATTTTGTTGTGGATATTTATAAGTACGAATCTTACGAATTTCGAATATCTGCGAGAAACCAACGTCGCATTCCCAACAAGTGCCAAAACCGGTATTTTGCCTCGTTTTTCGGCCATAATATTTTTGCTATTAGTCGGATCTTCTACGTGTGGTCTCATTTTGTAGGTTTTATAAATACCTAAAAATCTAATATTAAGAGTTTTTCGTTCCTGTCAAAACTTTCGATTGAATCATAAAAAAACACGTTTTCTCATTCTTTGTTGTGGAATAAAAAGTTTTCCCACAAAAATTGGTGTACCCATTTTATGCGTCCATGTTTTGAATACCCCCTTGAACAACTTTCACCAATAAAACCAGACTTTACAATTATGTAGCAAACCAGAGGGATTTTCGTCAAATATGATTTGACTATTCCCCAATATGTTTGCTTAATCCTGATGCGTTAATCCGCCGTAAAACGATACACAATTAAAGCGGGATTCCTAGGGCTATTGAGGTTAAGAAAAATTTGGATATCAAACTGACAATTCCCCTTTGAAAGTAATGTAAAACGTGCATTCTCCCGCAACTAGAGGTTTAACGAATAACCTTATACATAAATCATACTTTTTGCATGTAAAAAGTACTCTAGATACCCTGCGAGCCTCGACTTAAATTTCCGAATTCGGGATGACATACGATGTAAAAAGTCAAATTGTTGAAAAATGGCTACTCCAAAACCGAAATACCTATTGAGACACCTTTGTAAGTGACGACTATAAATACCAACTAAGGCTTGATAATGACCAAATCATAGCAAAATTATACAAGAATGCACATGGATCGCTCAACCAACTAATCTAGTTTCTTATTTTTTTGAATTCATTCACCTTCCCTGTGTACTTTGTAAAGCGCGGTTTTTGGGGGCCGTATTTTCTTCTGTTGATGTAGTGGTCAGTAATAAGACTCACCGTATCCGCCTCCGGCTGCCGCGTATCCGCCACTTCTGTCATCGTATCCTCCACCTACCGAAGTCGCGCCGTATCCGCCGGATGCTCCGCTGTTGTATCCGCCAGCGTATCCGTCAGCCGCTGGAGCTGCTCCGTATCCCGCAGAATAACTGAAAGAAAATATATTAGATAAGATGGTTTGTTGGGGAGATTTTCAAATGACCTCGTAGCAAGTTCAAACTTGCGCAAGTTTGTGCATGTCAACTTGCACTAATTGGGCTGAATTGGTGTAGCCTTTGTTTACAGTCAGTTTAAACTGCACAAATTCCGTAAGTACCACTGAGATACGAGTGTCAAGGGCGCCATTTATTCACAATTAGAATTTAAAAATTGTCTAAAATGACTTACCCAGAGTAATCTGTAGCAGGCGTCGCCGCATATCCCTGAGTATATCCGCTGTTCTCGTATCCTCCAGCAGCACCTTGACTGCCATATCCACCCTGCTGATATCCGCCACCTTGACCTCCATATCCCTGATTGCCGCCATATTGCTGTGTTTGGTACGCTTGTTGGCCGCCATATCCTCCAGCGCCACTATAAAAAAGAGGAAGTGTTCAGGTTTCACGATATTCCCAAATGAATCATAAGTGTTCCTATATCATAGATTCAATTTGGTTCTAGAAGTAATAATGTTTTTAAAGATCAAATTTACAAAAATGTTAGCGCTAGCAATATAACTGTTCATCCCCAGTAGTAACACGCTTAGTAATTCGTAAGCATGGGTTGCAAATAAGGGATATTTTTTTATAGCACATGCAACAGAAAACATAACACAAAAGTTATGTCCATTTTAAATGCAAGTGCAATTCTATCACACACTGAAGATTGGTAGAGCGTCGAGGATTTCAAGCTCGGCAGGTTCCAAAGCACCTGAGTCTGTACCACAGAATGCTGTTTCCTTCTGCTGCCGTATCTTCACACCATAAAGATATTTTGTCTCCAAAGAACATGCAGGAAAATACAGCGACATATCTATAAATATTATGCCACTTGTTGCTTCCACAGCTACCTGCTATTTCAGAAATGAACAAATAATGCTACTACCCATAGCTAATCTACTCACCCTGAATTATATCCGTTCTGTCCGCCAGCTTGCTGTCCACCTCCATCGAACCTGGTCCTCTTGGGGCCTCCTTGACCGACTGGGCCACCTTGACCGCCTGCAGGTCCTCCCTGACCACCGAATCCTCTCTTCTGACCCTGCGGTCCTCCTCTGCCTCTATCACCGAATCCTCCTCTGCCGCCTCTTCCTCCTCTATCTACGAATCCGCCCCCGCGGCCGCCTCCACGATCGCCGCCGCCTCCGAATCCGCCTCTACCTCCTCTAAATCCGCCGCCACCGCCGCGGTCTCCGCCCATTCCTCTGCCTCTACCGCCGCCCCCGCGGCCACCCATACCGCCGCCTCTGCCACCCATCGCTCCGACGTCATCTTTCATGCCGCCACCTCCCATGCCTAAGGGGGCATAGTCTGTGTGTGTCAAATAGAAAAGCATAATATGGATTAAAAAAAAAAACAAAAAATAAAAAGAGAATTTCCACTCCAAATAAATAAAAAACAAACAAAAAACATGGTTTAAATAATTGTATTCTACCTGAAGATAGTCAACCATATACTATATTCCAGCGTTCAAAAATGGATCTCAAAGATACTAGCATGATCCATGAGATAGTAGCAGAACACAAAAATGAATTTAGAAACCAATTTTGAAAAAAGTTACGAGTGTTTGGTTCTGCCATAGACGGCGCTAAAATATTCAACTATGTTTTACCTCTTCAGCCCCTATTATAATTGGGTATCTTCAAGAGGAATACGTTAATCAGTGCTTCAAGAGAGGCTGAAGATGAATTGAAGATCAAAGTGCCATCTATGAGACAGTATAACCGAACACTAACGCATTTCAAAGTGGATTTCTAATGTAAAAGTTATGCTACTGTATCATAGATGTAGAAAAAAGTGTAATGTAGTAGAAGAAAAAGCCCATTTATCTTTGACTATACCATAGTCTATGAAGTACTTTATCATTGTCAGAAAACTTAAGATTTAGGAGTTGTAATTTATTCATTTTTGTCTGTTGAGCATGTCTCAATAATGGTTAATGCTGCATCAAAGGCGTATAGATTCATAATGAGAAACTGTCGGTCTTTCTGTTGACTTGTCTGCTCAAAATTAGAATTATTTGGCATCCCTATTAGTCCAAACAAAAAATTGCAATTGAGAACGCTTTTCAAAACTGTTCATTTAAGGACTGATGGTACCAAAACCTTCCATTGTGATAGAGCTAGAACTAAATTGCTTCTAAAGTTGCCAGTCCTATGTGTGGAAATTTTAATTCAATTTCTGCTGTTTGTTATATAAATTATGACAGTATTTCAAAAATACTGAATGTTGATCTTTTGCACTTGGACAGAGAAATCACATAAATGAACTATCCTTTTCTGGATGTCTGGCTTTTAGCTTTCATTATATGTTCATATAGAGGTTAAATGCATTGATGCTTGACATGTCAAAAATCTTTATGACTTTTTCTGTATTCTGTTGTACTTTCATACTTGCCACTAAATCAATATTGTTTGTATTTTAAACCATTGTTTTTTATTTTTTCATTTAATTTGGTTTTATTAATTAATTAAGTATTAATGTCCTGTAAATGATTGTTGGGCAATTAAGATTATTATCATAGATGGCACTAGTATCACCCAGAACCCTATTTAGACACTGGAATATGGATGGTTATTGTCAGGTAAAATAAGGAAAAAACTTCATATTTTATACTTTTGCCTAACTACTGAACTAACAGAGTGAATTAGATCAGATGATGATGTATCAGAGTCCCCAAGCTATTTACAGGAGAGTGACTATATTTATTAGTAATGTTTACTATTAAGCAATAGTGTCAATCTACAAATAACCAGGAAAAATATTTCCACTCTCTCTAAAATGTAAGCCAATCTAGTGTTCTCAATTGGCGTTGTTTAATGTGTTATGTGAAAAAGCGGTCAAATGCAATCTTTATTAAAAGTGATAAACTTGTTTTTTTTATTAGTTTTTACATGCCTTTAGGAAAATGACTAAATGTGTGAAAAGCACATGCAATTTACACCCATTTCAGTATAAAATAAATAGAAAGATATGATACAGAGTACAGAGGCATGACAATGATAAAGGGAATACACACAGTGAAATATTCAAATTCAAAAATGTATGTTGCATAGCTTGAGTAATCTGTGTACATTTTAATGTATAATGATAAATGAAGTTGAATATTTCACTGTAAAATAAAGTTTTTCTGTACAGCCTTGACCCACACCTGGAGCAATACCCTTTGTTTTCAAAATACACCATTTTCACGTCATTAAACACACGTGCCATCTCTTACAGATGCGATGCGAATGACGAATATTTGCCTACTAAAAAATGATGTGCTTTCAAAACTGGGATTACTGTCCTACTTTAGATCACCACTTCAAGCAAGCAGTTAAAGGAACTGTTTAGGTGATAGATATATTCAAATGAGACAAAACAAAAAGCGGCAATATCAAGCTGAAATTAAACATAGAGGAGTTAAAACAGATACTTAAATAATAAACTGAAAGTTTCAACTCTGGTACATCTCACTGTTTAAACCAATTGTTGAACAAGTGCTCACTTGTGACTGAAATTGATATTTACCAGTCACAAGTGAGTGATGAAGCTACTGATCATAAGCACCCTCATTTACCACCATCACCTCCAAATGTCAACCCATCACCCCCTCCATTCCATGTTACAACCAAAATAAAAACAAAAACTATAACTAACCTCCATGTCCCATCCCCCCCATCATCATACCTCCGCCACCACCGCCTCCGCGGCCACCCATGCCTCCTCTGCCTCCGAATCCTCTGCCCCCACCGCCGCGGTGTCCGTCTCCTCCAGGTCCGCCTCTACCGCGTCCGCCGAATCCTCCACGGCCTCCCATGCCGGGGCCTCCACCGCCCCCGCGGCCACCCATACCGCCTCCCATTCCACCGCCCATGCCGCCTCCACCGCGACCGCGCATCATCGGACCGCCACCTCCACGTCCTCCAGGACCGCCTGGACCTCCAGGACCACCACTAGAAGAAAAAGATAAATGTATACAAGGTGCCTCAGGTTATGGAATATTTATAAGTAACATCATAAGGGCATAAGTTTAAAAAAAAAAAATCGAAAAAACACGTTGCTAAGTAATAGAAGAAGCATGACTGCTGGTGGTAACACCTGCAGGAATGTTTTGTTTTAAAAAATATTACTTTGCATTTTTTCGATTTTTTTTTGCAGGAAAAAATTAGATGCTGGAATAGTATTTGACAAGACTTAATTGATCAGTAACAGATTATTCTGCATACACATAGTTTACAAAACATACTTTATTGACAATAAAATAAAAAAAATTGTTTAGCATGGTTTTCTGGTGTCCTAGGTGACCATAATTACTTGTTATCAAAAGTATTGTAATATTTGGTGACAACAGCCGTCAAGTTTTGCCGCGGGTAAGCTCGACTAAGGTAATCAGCTGATCAGCGAGTGACATCTTTGTATTAGTCTGTAAGGGTAGCAATAATGAATTGGGTGCAAAACTAGTAAAACTTGTAGCGTTTTTTTTTTTGTATGCAAAAGGACTTTTCTAAATGAAATAGTTGTTAGCAAGTACAAAGTGAATCTGTAACGTACAAAAAACAAAAACAATACAGGGCTCTATGTGGCCTTGAGGGACCCGTCAAAATTATGCGTCATTTGTCGATATCGAGAATTTTGAAATCTTAATAGATAAGCAGCTGTTATTCTATCGTAATGCATACTCTTGAAAAAGACAATAGAAAAAAATAGGCCCCCTACCACAGACATATACAGGATGTTACCAAAGATTAGTTATATCAAGACACTTCATGGAATGCCTTTGCAATCCGCCGTCGGCCCCATTGGCCTTTGGAGTCATCTTCATTATGGTAGAGAAGTGACTCATAATTTTTTTTACATCATCCCAGACTGATATGATACAATAAAAACTAGTCGGATCTTACCTACAGTAATGGACAAATTAATATTGTGCTGTATTTCTTTTTTAACTTGTTTTATTAATACACCAACCTGTATGCATAATTTGTTATAGCATAATACTCACTTATGCATAAATAAATTCATTAGACTCCCTTCAATAAAAAATTAACACAAACTAATCCCCTTCTGACATGAAACTGTACTAAATCAATGTTGAAAAGAATTTGTCTAGATATTTTTGTTCCTCATAAAAAAGTGCTTATATTCAGACTTGTATTGTGTTCATTGCAGATATGTAAAAACAAGGAATTTAGTTTTTCTACTAATAACGCATTTGTTTATGAAGCAATGAAGTATGAATTCGTTTTCTAAAGGTATTTACATAAATATTCATATTTGTCTATATACTTTTGTCCATAACTGTATATTGATGCAAAACAGCAATCTTGGCAAGTTTGCTGTTTAGCACTAAAACACGTAAGATATGACTATATCACCATGCACTGAAACCAAAACTTTGAAGTCACCTCTTGGACTATTACTGGTTTACAAATTGAAAACGGCGATTCATGTGCATTGGCTACCGAGGCGGTGTTGCCAAGTTGTCATATGATATTTACAAATCGCTACATTTATTCTAAGCAGTAGGGATCAGCTCTTTTTTCATGGTTTTTGGTGGTTACATCAAAGTTATTTGAAATAAATAAAACATATTGCAAACTGATGATTGGTCAAATAGGCAATTTGAGGATAGAAAACCTTTGAATTTCAAGCTGACATACTTCTTTATGACTAAACTATGTTGTGCAGTATTCAGCATAGGGCCCTAGCTATATCATTTTTGAGAATAACTATATATCTCAAAAAGTGTAACTTTATTGAATGAAAAACATTTTGTAGGTTGCAAATATATATATATATATACAGTGAAAGCTCTCCGTGCGGACAGCTCCTATAAGCGGACATCTCTTTTAACCGGACAAAGTTCCTGGAACCGAATTTCAGTCATCAATTTTCAATGTTAAATGCATTCCGATAAACGGACGCTCTTATAAACGGACGCGGACACTAGATTTTCCTGTATGTGATCAAAAAATCTCCCATAAGCGGACGCGAAACTCTAATACCCGGACGATTTTTTAGTTCCGCTTATTGCAATGCACATATCTACATACATAAAATTCGGTAATTCCCCGATTTATATTAGGTCCCCATTTACGCATTTCGTTTCCTCAGGTTACACCCGTATCCGGATGTGTATCTACATTTGTAGTTTCATATGTGCATTCATTTCGGGCCTGATGAAGCCAACCAGCAGAAATACGTATCGCTCGGGTTACCTATCCTATTTTCTGCTCGAATCCACTTTCCTCCTTTTTGAGGTTTTGCCCATTATTTTCCTACTTGTTATATACCTTTCTCAGCATGAAAATATTCTCTTTGTCGATCCTTTGGGCTTGAAGTACCACAGCAAGTGGCTATAACCGGCCGCGTGGTGGTGGTTAGACGTCTCCTTGAAAAGTCGAGGTCGTATAGCCATTTTATACTACAATGTGTAGGTTGGCTCTTGTTGTGGACTTCGTGTGTCGTTTTTTTCCCCCTCCAACTTCGTTTCCTCAGGTTACACCCGTATCCGGATGTGTGGGCATGTGTATCTACTTTTGTAGTTTCATATGTGCATTCATTTTGGGCCTGATGAAGCCAACCAGCAGAAATACGTATCGCTCGGGTTACCTATCCTATTTTCTGCTCGAATCCACTTTCCTCCTTTTTGCGGATTTTGCCCATTATTTTCCTACTTGTTATATATATATATATATATATAACCCAACCATGGATAAATATTCATACAAAACTAAACTTGAACAAACATGGGTTCACTACAAGTAATGGTCAATAGGTTCACCCTAAAAGCATTATCTATCTGGCAACAATGCACTTTTTGACTGAATAAGATGCCATGTTTTCAGGGACATCTATCTCTCTACAATTTTATATCTTTGTCTGTTTTCTCTTTATATGACTACTCTTCCAATGTTACTTGATATTATGCCATAGTTCCAAGTGTGCATTGCTGATCCAAAATCAAGTAAAAAAAGTCTGGTTTCCAAGATACATGGTGTCAAAATTTGAAAAACCTACTTTTTGACACAGGAAAATGAGTTGTCACAGAAAATAAAAGATATGTTCACAATAACAAAATAACATTCTGTAGCAACAGTCAAAATTGGTTTGTTTTTAACATTGTTTCAACATTTCATAAAAGTTTTTATTTTTCCCTAACACACAAAGTAGAGATGAAGAAATGCCTAGACAAAAAAGATGTATCAATATGTGCTTAATCCAAAGCAGTCTTAGCACATTATTACAATGAATAACACTGCTAACATTCAACAAAATTGTCAGAAGGATCTTTGATATATTACTAAAAAACCAAAAATGAGATGTTTAAATGTTGATGAATGCTTTTTAGTTCAATTTACAAGAACTCAATTCATTTTGGCCATAACATTACTATGTTTTGTTTATATTTATAACAGGACATCAGACAACAAACATCAGTTTAGAGTCACATTTCAATCTAACTATTCTTTCAATTTTCACTATGTTAATATTGCTGATAAGGCTTACCGAATGTCAATACCATTTATTTCAACAACACACAAAAAATCAGGTCTGAAATTATTTAATCAAAAACTGCTGGTGTAGATATGCTATACATTTTCCAAGCCAAGGTTTAGGCAAATACATATGATTTCTTTGGAGTATCAAGTTGTTTTATTTTCATTATTAAGATGTAACATCTTACCGTCCTCTAAATCCTCCTCCTCCTCTACCAGGTGGCCCACCTCTGAATCCTCCTCCTCCTCCTCTGCCACCACGACCTCGAAAGCCACCTCTTTCACCATGTTGAGGAGGTCCTCCAGACACTCCATTGCCAGGTGCTGCTCCAGCATCAGGTGCTGCAGCTCCTTCTGCTGCTGGATCTGCCATTCTATTTAAAATATATGTGTTACAGCACTTCAATCAACTTCAGACATAATGAGCTACAAAATGGCACCGAAGAAAATTTTTCACTATGTGCAAAAATTACCACCTACAAATTGAGTAGTGATCTTCAGCATAACAAATGAGCTAGTCCTGAAGTCTTGACTTATGGTCTTTGGCTTAACTGGAGATAACTGTACTTCAAAAAATAATTAGTCTAATTTGTCCATCAAACAATGAAAATGAATTTTACAACAATCACGTGGGATTATTTGTTTGAGTTTGGGCATATCAACAAAATTATAATTCAAACGCAATTGATGTTAGAGATAGGCGTTTTGCCAAAACTGTAAATACTGCCCTGGAAGGTAACTGGTCGTCTCTGTAATGAAATTGGAGTTAAATAGACAGTAGATGAATGAATTTTGACCGCAGAGGTCAACGATGCGGAAAACCAATGGAATCAAGAGTCAAGAGGATGTTGACCGGTGTACCGGCTACGAAACGCACGTCTCGAAACCAAAATATACACAACTTTAGCGCATCAATTATTTTGGATGATGAAGAAATACAATTTTGGAGTAGATTAAAATATATACCTGCTCTATTAACACGTTAAGTTTCACTTAAAATAATAAAAATCTTCAACTGGACAGGTACCACAACTATCTTACAAGGCGTATGGATTCAAAATGGACGATTCAGGAAATAGCAAACGTGCGATGGCGTCTTGACAACAACAGCGCCCTCTACAAAAGCGTCAGGCACGCCAATATAACGGAATAAAATGTGATTATCTGTCTCTTTCTATTTCTCATAAATTAGAAGGCTATTCGTCTAGTATCTCTCTCGCGCAGTGCCGACTGGAACAGACCAGAAATATTCCGGTCAAATTAGAAAACGACAGGAAGTGGGAGGTTTCGAATCCAGAAAATAAATAGCAGGACAAGAAATACGTACTATCGATAGTTTCATCGTTATACCGTTTGATGTACAGTTTTAAGGCGTACAGCTTTGTCCAGGTTCCTAATATTATACGAATTTTTAATATCGTATCTTAATTTATTGTATCTCAATTTCCCGTACTATTATTTTTCGCGCGTCCTCTTCTGGGTTTAATTCCAACCACCAAACTGTACCCTAAAATGAAGCAGATTTCTTTTCTGTTGTTGTAGATGCATGCTTGCGCTTACAAGTGTACTCAACAGATGACGCAATAAGTTTTTTTACGTGCGCCATCTATGGTTTAAAGGTTAAACAACGTTTTCAATATCTGATATTGTGCTGTGATTTTATGATCTACAGCTCAGGCAACAGATGGCACTGACCATATCTATTTCTTCCTTATCATACGAGGGTGCTTCGTTATGTTTGCTTCTTTTTCAAATAGAACACACAACACACGTTTATAGCCGAAATGAATAAATTACTGGAAAATGAGGATCTGAAAGATTTTTGTTCTTATATCTCAGCAACTGCGAAATTATTTTATTATTTACTATCACCAATAATAATTTTTAATTAAATTTCGTCAATAACGTTAGAAATTATTTTTTTGTTTTCCACGGTATTTGTGAAACAAAACAATCCAGCTCCTGACATAATTTAAAAAATACAAAATGTCGAATGGCAGAGTAATACAATTTAGATACTATTCTATCAAGCGGAATCTAAGGACACCTCAAAATGTCGAAGTACAACCAGCCTGCACGGGTATTACGTATCTTAAAAAGTGACATTTTGGCGGATTTGGTTAGGTTTTTTGGGACATAACGTAGGTTTTTCTACAAGATGTTAATTTATTAGTACAAACTGTTGTACACTTGTTGTGAAGTCGTTTTGGTAGCTGTACGTTTTTGACGTTTTTTAGGGCTTTTTACATAATACCCTGATGTAGCATCTCAAGATTCAAAGATTGTTCAAAGTTAAAAATTCGCCATTTTGATTTTACGAAATTTTGATATGCTCAGTGTTATTCGCACTGTCAAGACAAATATAGAGAAATCTCATATGTCAAAATCCATCATGCCGTTCAAGCTGTAGCCCGTCAGATAGGAATTTGAAGGATAAAATTATTCATTTAGTTTTTATAAAACTTAAATATAGCGAAAGATGAATATATCCAAAATGTTTGAGCACCCTATGCTGCTATGCTCAAAAAGTATTGGAAACTCGGAAAACGGATGTAGAAGGATGAAAGATTTAATACCATCTCAAAATGAAGATTTTCGCGGTTACAAAGAAATTACGTAGACGCTAATTTTGAATCACCGTAGTTATCCCGATAGAACTGTTATAGCTTGTATGAACATAAACATAACAAGCTCTATTTTTAATTCCTTCGATTCTGTACACGTGCTTTTAGTGTTAGTTTGAGCTTTTAAAATAATTCGTCACGTGTATAACCTACATAGATCAGTCAAATTAAGTTTCCTATTCTCAGGTAAAATCAAGTAATTTGAATTCGGAAAAGCCGATAAGAGACAACGTTGATATTCAGAATTCTCGACAAACAGGAGTTATTTCCACTAATTGATTTTGAGAATATGCAATTAGCTTTAACAACTAGATGTCCCGACAAAAGTGACGCTCCCATTGACTAATCAGTAGACCTTTTGATGTTAATTGACTCAATTAATCTCTGCTTTAGAGCCGTTTTACACACAACAGAATTACTCCGAAAATTATGGTCATAATTATGCCGAAAATTTGCATGGAAAAAATATTGAAGATTTTCTCTACAACCTGTATGACACAAGCAAACAAAATTTCGGAGTAATTCATATGATACGCCTGCGCATTAGAGTAATATTTTCGAATGGACATAACCTTAACGGGTATGACGACCAATATAATCGGAAAGACAACAGACGTCGTTGATTTAAATTTATTTTTGAAATCGAGATCTTGGTTAATATTATAAAACTTCTCAATGCTTGGACTATCGCATCCAACGCCTGACGCCGCAAATTTCTGTTTTTGTAATTGGGTGACTTCACATTGTACAGGTTTGGCCATTTTTGGTACTCCTCCAACAACAGTGTAACTTCTTCCCGATTCCACGACATTATGAATGTATGAATAAACAATAACAATAAACGCTTCTTCGTACGACTGGAACAGGACCACACCCACAAATGTTAAGTGAAGTTATGTTGTTGATGTTGACATTTGATATTGACATGCACGGAAATAACCCTCTGCGCCGATTCTCGCGCATATTCTATAGAACGGGTTTTATATTTTTGCCATGAAAATTTTCACAAGAATTCTTTTACGTGTAATACGACAGCCAAAATTTTCGGCATAATTATGACCATAATTTTCGGAGTAATTCTCTTGTGTGTAAAACGGCTCTTACACAATAAATCTGTTTTAGAATTTCCGAATAACGTACACAAATGTTGAATGTTTTTGCAGTTACATTAATGTGAACGACTGATAGATTTGAACGTGAAACATGAGTATTTTGATGATTTCAAAGTTTCTGAAGTCTAAAAGGAATTTGAAGGTTTCATTTCCATGACCGTTAAGTGAAAAAGTATATACTTAGGAAAACGTGCGTTTTTTCTTTTTCGCAGAGGTAGCCGAAACACAGTAAGTGTATTTCTTTCCACATCTAACATAGAATAAATCAGCGTAGCAACCACGGGATAAGTTTTAAAGCTACATCATCGAAATCAAAGATTAGAGAGTTTTAGAATTTCCTGTTTTTAGAGGACACAGGCGCACACTGAATTTCGACACTTAAAAATATTGCGTTAAATTTCCCCGCAATCTAAGAGGTACTTTCAAGGTATTGGAACCAATGATCATTGGTTTTCTGAAGAATACTCTGCCGTAAGTGGCCGACACTCCAAGACTATAAAATTTCATTCAAAATCTGAGCTTTACTTTCTGATCTACCTAGAGGCCAAGGATTTTATACAGGCGTGACATGTCCATACCAACAGATTGAAAAACACGGACTCAAGTAAACATTCTCAGTATTTCCCTCGCGTTGAATATAAATATATTTAACGTTCTAGCTACATGAAGATTCAAAGCAATACAGGGTTATCCAAATTAAGTGTCCACCATTAGTAACTTTGTTATTAGTGAAAATACAAAGTTGTTTGAATTAGCAAACTAGTAGCATTTTTAACGCTGGTAAAAATGAGAAATAAAAAAAAAACAATTGAGAGTCGTTATTTTGATTTTTTTCAGTAAAATAACATTTTTTTAAATGGAAACCCCTGTATATTATATTTTTTTCTGTTAAAGCATCAAATTTTAAACAAAAAAGTTCATAATGACTTTTCCGCTAAAGTCAAAAATAAAGTCAAAATAACGATAAATATTTTTAATTATTTGCAGTATTATAATATTAAGACGGCTATGAAAACAACATGGCGTTCGCGATTTGACAGCATTAAGATAAGCGACAAATTGTTAAACTGGACATACTCGCAACTAGAAGGCTTTGGAAAACAATGATAAAATCAAATAATGTCAAACATTAGTGTAAATACTTGTTTATAAGCTTTATTGTGATTAATTTAAAGAAAAATGTTCTCCCATGAAGAAAAGTGTGATATGTTAGAATGCTATTTAGTGTGCAGAAAATCCTCCTTGAGAGCAACAGTGAATTATATCCCGCTCGCATTCAACCGTATGAACGATATTTTCTGAGACTTTATCGAAAATTTAGGGGCAACGAAAATGTTTTTGCTAAAACAAGGGCAAAAAAAGAATTCATAATAAGCGAGGCCACGGAAATTGCAGTTATTGGATATTTTGAAGCTTATCGTGAGAATTCAATAGCAGATATTCTCAAGGACTCTAATTTCAGTTATGGTACTGTTCAAAGGATTTTAAAAAAATACAAATTTATTCCGTATAAGTACCGACCAGTTCAAACGCTTTTGGCAGGGGATCCAGAGAGAAGACTTGTTTTTTGCCATTGGTATCTTAGCTTCTGTCGCCAAAATGTAAATAACTTTCGGTACCTTTTATGGACAGATGAATCAAATTTTTCAAATTCTGGAATGTTTAATAGAAAAAACCACCATTATTGGTCAAGAGAAAATCTTTTGTTAGTACATCCAAGAGGCCCACAAGTCCGTTTCAGTTTCAACGTTTGGTGCGGTATAATTGGTTCAAAAATTGTTGGCCCGTTCTTTTATGAGGGAACCCTAACTGGTGAAAGATATGTGGAATTTATGTCAGAAATTCTGACTAATTTCTTAGACGAATTGGATCTTATAAGTAGACATCATCTGCATTTTCAGCAAGATGGCGCACCTGCCCACAACTCCAGAGGTACTTACCATTTTCTAAGTACTACTTTTAATGATCAGTGGATAGGAACAAATGGCCCAATACAGTGGCCTCCCAGATCACTAGATCTAAACCCACTTGATTACTTCTTGTGGGGTTACTTAAAGAACCAAATTTACAAGCGAAGGTACGATAACCTTGACGCGTTAAAGACTGCAGTTAGGGAAAAGATAACCCAGATAGATGGTAGGACCATACTTAAGACAGTTCGAGCAGTTGAAAAACGTGCCCAAAAATGTATTGAAGAACAAGGTGGTGTTTTCGAGCATCTTCTTTAAAAAAAATTGTTATTGTACTATGTAAGATTATAAGTTGATGTTGAAAATAAAGTTTGTCGATACAATTTAATTGTTTCAGATTGGAGGCCATAACTTCAACAATTTGTAACCTAGGAGAAAAGTTATTGTAAGCTTTTTTATTTAAAATTT